TATTTAGCTAAAACAGATACTATAATGAGAAATCTAAATGATAAAGTATTAAATTTTTATAGAATATAAATTCTTCTGAGTTTATAATAGTTCACAAAAATTAACTTCTACATTAACATTTAATGAGTGTTTACTACTTTCTTAACTAAGGATGAAATGTTTATCACGTTTCTATGGGAGGTGCATACTCTGGAAAAAACATGTGCTTTACATCTTCTACTATGAATACATGTCTGTCTTCATTTTCTAAATATTGGATTCTTTTCATATTTCTTTTCTCATCCTTTATTCTCTTCCTTTCCAAGCCCATTCAATTTTTTACACATGTTTAGGTATGTAGTTCAAGCCCAGACTTCTAGTATTCAGATATGTGTTTCTGCTAATCTCATAGCTTTGCTTGAATATTTATCAAAATAAAAAGGGTTTCTAATACAACCTTTTCCCCCTGAATTCAGAGTCACATCTCTATATTAAATACACTCCCATAACTCTTACCGTCTATGTTAACTAAACACTTAAAGAATTCTCAATTTATATTAGGTGATTCAACTGTGAAGTTTCATATGCTTCATATAAAAATAGATGCTTTAGACATGACTCCCTCATATACCATCCTTATTTAAACTAATATATAATTCTTCCAAATGCTACTCAACATTATCCTTTCCAATATATTTACAAAATACTGTCTCAAATGCCAGCATCCTGAAATAAAGTAACAATATCCAAATTCTGTTTTCTACAACATTGTGTGCATTTGTGTGACTGTGTGTGTGTGAATCTTACAAATGTTTATGTATAAATTACAGTCACATTAATCTTTTTTTATAAAAGATGTATCTTATCAGATTGTTTCCTTGCTTTGATTTAAAATCCTTAGTGAGTTTTTGTTTGATTTTGTTTTTCATTGTTAGTATAGAATCTCCCCATTCGCTTTGTATTTATGCTAACAGAGTCTTATAGTTATTGACTGTTTCAGGCTAATCCTTCAATCAGACATTTGAACAGGCAATTCCTTAAAAGAAAGAGTCCTCAAACTTCACCCCTTTGTTTGCATTCTAGATGATTTTAATCCATTATTTGTCATTTTAAATACTAATTTTCCAGGATACCCTTTCCAATCCTGTTGGATCAGATGGTTTATGGTCCTATTTGCTTATACATTTCTTCATAAAACCCAACAATTTGTAGTGTATATATAAATGTGCAGTTGTGCAGTTTTCTTCTTCATGTGGGTCCCCTAACAATTAGAATAGGGGCTGTTTCTTTCTGACTCTATTGCCTCCCTTTTGATCCCTTTTCTCTTGGATGCCTTGTCTGGTCTCAGTAAGAGAGGAGGACACGCACATAATCCTGCTGTGACTTGATGTGTCAGGGTGGGTTGTTACCCATGACAGGGGCCCTTCCTTTCTCTGAGGAAAAGAAGATGAGGAGTCTAAGGGCAGGACTTGGATGAGAGGGGGTCTGAGAGTGGTACTTGGAAGAGAGAAGGGAGGGGGCCTCAATCAGGCTGTAAAATGAATAAATTAATGAGTAAGTAAATAAATGTGTAAAACATTTACTCAACATAAAAATATGTTTATGTTGTATATTTATCTTTTTTTTCTCGATAAATACTAATCAGGGCCATGAAGAATGGATCTGCCCAATTTTTACCTACATTGCTAAATTAAGACCCTTGTCTCTTATATGGTCAAATTACATTGCCAAACATTAAGCTTGGTCTGAAATTTGCATTATGTATTATGTACAACAGAAAACATTAAATTGGGAAGAATTTTTATGATTTTTCATTTTTATTCTGAATATGGAGACTAATATCATACTCTTCTCCTAGAAATGCATAAATCTGGCCTTGAGAGTCCTAAATGATTTGAGTACAAATTATAATTTTCCATCAAGTCAAAGCCATAGAGTTTCTAAAGAATTAAACTAAGGTCATATTTCCTGTGAGTTTTCTCAAGTTTATGCTTATAACTCTTCTGCCATTGACAGCAATCTTATAATAAAAACACATTCATTGCTTTCCTTCTAGTAAATTTAATATAAATTTAATAAGTGGGACTAATATTTAGCAATTATTTATTAAAATGATACATAAAAACAGTAATTATTTAACAAGACCAAGTACAGTACATGAAATTAAAGTTGTTTATACATAAAGGATTTTTTCCCACACCCCCTTCTCTACCTTTTTTTATTTATTGTTTGCTGCTTTCATAACATTGGCAAAGTTCCAGTAAATATCAATTATGTTGATTTTTAATAAAAGCCTCCTAATCTATTAAAGTTCATACCATAGACTAAATAAAACAATGCATAAATGTTTTCTTATATATTATATATCTTCAATTAATTATACTTTATAAATATCTTTCCTATGTCCATACTTCCTCCCTTCAGTGTCCTCATTGTTAAATTACAAGCAGATATTTTAGTATAAAGAGTATGGATCCATATTACTCACATTATAGAATCCAATTATATTTCATATCTATAAACCAGTCTGTGAAAGTAATCTGATAAAATTTACTTTCTTAGTTATTGAAATTTATGCCAATTCCTAACTTACCTGCCCTGTAAGTATCCAGTGCATCCTGAGAGGCTAAGATCTTAACATTCCATTAGAAGTGAATCTACAAACAGCAAATTCAAACATTTTCTTTCTCTCTTTCTTTCCTTTCTCTCTTCCTTTCTCTCTCCCTCCCTCTCTCTCTCTCTTTCTTTCTTTTCTCTTTCTTACTTTCTTTTTATTATTCTTTAATTTTTTTTTTAACAGTACAGTCATTATCCCCCTCCTGGTCAGCCCTCTGACTGCTCCTCATCCCATTCCTCCTCCTTGGACTCCAAGAGGATGTCACCACCTCCTACCCCACCCCACCAGACCTCCCACTCCCTGGGGCCTCAAGTCTCTATAGGGTTAGATATGCCTTCTCTCATTGAGGTCAGATAATTGAACCAATTTAAAATATTCTTAACACCATAATAATCAAACAATACTTTTAAATGCATTAAATGTTTATCTTTGTTATTTTTATTTTTTTTTTTACCTTTTTCTCTTACTGTGTACTAGACATTGAACCCAAGGCTTCTTACACGGTAGGCAAGTACTGTATTTCCATGCTATATCCCTAGCACATGAAATTTTATCTTTGCTTAGTAGGAATCACTTAAGGTATTCTTTTTTTTCTTTTTTATTGGATATTTTATTTATTTACATTTCAGATGTCATCCCCTTTCCCCATTTCCCCTCCCTAGAAACCCCTTATCCCATCCCCCCTCCTCCTTTTTGCTTTAATACCATTTTAATTACATGCGAGTATTAAGGTCAGTTCTAGGTTGAAGAACTAGCAATACAATAGATGCAAATAGTTAAGGAACAAGCAAGACAATAAACACAACTAGCCAAAGAACAAGCAAGGCAATAAACAAAGTTCTGTGAATACTCCTGTGATCACTGCTTCTAAGGGCTTATCAGGATGACCAAATTTAATTTAAGAATTGTATAATAATATTTTACAGGTAAATACTAGACCCCTATCTATGCTTCCTGGCTACCATGAGGTGAGCAGCACTTACTACCCATGTCCTACAGTTTTTATATTTACATGTTATTACAGACAGAGAAACAATAGAACCAGATGTCAATGGACTAAAGCTTAAGAAAGTGTGAGCCAAAATAAACATTTTCTAATTTAGCTTGGTTACTTTGACTATTTCCTCACAGTGACAAAGTCAATTAATTCAGGCAGTGACAAAAATAAGTATTATATGACAAGGTAATGTAATAGGTACTAAAGCCCAGGCAGGTTTGTCAGGTGCTGAAACCAAGTTATCACTAAAACTCCGTTGTCCTCATTCCAAATGAGCATGCCAGGTAGTTCTCTTCATTGTGTTATAGTACCCTTGCTATACCTGTGAAAATACTACCATATGAAAGTTAACTTATTGCTTTTACCTAATAAGCTATTCTAATAGAAACATGAATGAATGCACTGTAATCCCCATCCTTTTCCATTTGATATGCTGAATATATATAGGTAGACTCGTTCATTTTTTATAAAAGCTGACACACAGAACTTGGAGTAGAATATTGATTATAAAAATAGGGAGACTTGGAGACAAAAAGATGATCATAGGCTTATCAATGGATATTGAAATTAAAAAAAAAGTATGGTATGTTAGTGCACAGTATTAATCAAAACTATACCATATTTTTAACAAGCTAAAATTAAAATATATTTTTGATTATAGGTAATGTTTAAAGTGAGAAACATATTTGCCATAATTTAAATATTACTCAATATATAAATTTGTTGAACTCTTATATCATACACTATAAGTGAGCATATTTGTTTCCTATGTAAGATTTAATTTCTAAAAATTCCAAAATATTAGTAGGACAATAATTGAAACACAACAATTTTAGCAGGGTTAGTTTGAAATTTTACTGACAGAACTAGGTAAAGGACATTTCAATTCATGTCATAAGATAAGTCTATTCATGTTGAATGGAATATTGCTGTTTAAGTAACAACTACATTTAAATTATTTCTATATTTAATGTCTTACCTGGTGGGAATATTCTGCAATAGCAGATTGGGAGTAGCTCAGCACTTGTAACGCAACATGGTAAGTTACTGAATGAGGACCGACGGTATTGACATCCATGGGTGATGTGCCACAAAATTCCACTTCTTTTTTTCTGTCATGAAATGGCTCAGGCATGGCTGCTAGATTTTGGCTTCATAGTCAGGACTCTCAATGAAATGAGAGCCTGGATCTGAGGCAAGTACTATGCTCATAAGAGTGAAAATTTCAAGCCATAGTGAAAAGTGAAAGAAACAACTTTACAAGATTTCTGGGAAGCACTAGTCTTCGGAACAACAGTTGACTGACAGCCCCCCTCCTTCCATCTGCACCTGCGCGCTTGATCTTAAAGGACTGTGTGGGCGTGACCGGAAATGGATAACCATAATATCCGCTTTTCTTCAACGACGGTTGTTTTCGGCCGTTCTCCGAGGACAGCGAAGCCTCTGGGAAGCTTTGGCTTGAGCGTCCGGTGAGGAACCTCCGTTTGTCAAGGTATCTTCTGGGACACTCTTACCCCACAGACCAGAGGCTTTCACAAAGAGACCCTCTCCATTTTACCCAGTACTATCCCTATGGTTTAATTTCCAGTGTTTCCAACTGCTGCTGTTGTGCCCTTAGGCTTCCGTTTGGCAAGCAGGGATGAAAGGTGGATAGAAGAGGCAGCCTTCAGCAAAGAGACAAGCAGTACTGGTCAGGAGAAAAGTTAATATTGTGAGCTGGAACTGAGACTTCAAGGTCTAAATCTCCCTTTCCCTTTTGAATTCCTAAGTCAGTACTCTTAAGGGAACTGCGCAAGGCAACTTTTCATGGCTTAATGGTAGAATCTACCAACAGAGACTGTACAAATTATCTCGTCCTCTGTTTTCCAGGGTGACCTCTTCCTCAACAAGCTTGCAGTACTACCTGTGGTCCCCACTACAGTCATCATGCCTCGTGGTCAGAAGAGCAAGCTCCGTGCTCGTGAGAAGCGCCGCCAGGCCCGTGCTAAAAATGCACTGGAGGAACAAGCCTCTCCAGGTCCTTTCTATGGGTGTCCACATCAGGCTATTCCTGTTGCCGGTATGCCTACACCTCCCAACATGCCAATGGAAGATCATTCTAGCTATTCACACACATATGCAAATACAGGTGCCAAAAACCTAGATGAGAAAAGTTCAGATGACTCTGACATTGAGGACTGGTGTAAAGATCCTATAAACCACAAAGTCGTCTTACTGGTACAGTTCCTGATAGAGAAGTATCAAAAGAAAGAGGTTGTTACAAAGGCAGATATGCTGAAGTGTGTTATCAAAACATCTAAGAACCACTTCAATGAGATCCTAAAGAGAGCCTCACAGCACATGGAACTGGCATTTGGTGTTGATCTGAAGGAAATAGATCCAAACAAGCACTGCTATGCTCTTTTTAACAAACTAGAACATACCTTTGATGGAGTGATGGGCGAAGAAAAAATGCCCAATAGTGGCCTCCTAATGATTGTGCTGGGTGTGATATTCATGAAAGATAACCATGCCCCTGAAACGGAGATCTGGAATGTGCTGAATATGATGGGCGTATATGCTAATAGAAAGCACTTCATCTATGGAGATCCTAAGAAGTTCATCACTGAAGATATGGTCCAGCTAAAGTACTTGGAGTACCAACAAGTGCCCGACAGCAATCCTCCATCCTTTGAATTCATGTGGGGTCCAAGAGCCCATGCTGAAATCAGCAAGATGAAAATCTTAGAGTTTTGGGCCAAGATCCATGATACTACACCAGATTCCTTTGCAACCTTGTATGAAGCAGCTCTGAAAGATGACGAAGAGCGAGCCCAAGCCAGGGCTGCAGCCAGGGTTCGCACTGCTATAATGGCCAGTTCATATTCAAGAGCCATGGTGCCTAGCTCCTCCCATGCTAAGTAATATATAAGGCTATCTCTTCACTGTTTGTAAAGGTCTGTAAGTTACCTAATAGTAAAAGGTTAATATGCTATGAAGGGGGCAAGTGCTTTTAATATTTCTATTTCTCTTTTATATTAGTAACTTCCAGTTTTCCCTTTTTCCCTCATTTAATTCTAGGTTACACATCAAAGTTTGAAGTATGAGGAAGATATTCTTTGTGGAAATTAAGAACAATGGACAATTTAAATAGTAGATGGACACTCTAGAAGGAGCACACTGAATATCATTGTTGCATTCTTCTGCCATATTTAAGCTTCATCTCACTTTTTTTGTGTTAGATTTCAGATGATTCTTTAAAATTTTTCAATACTTTTAAAATGTAAAATAAGTAATGCATTTACTTATACATTTATTGCCTGAAGCTGTTGGGAGCAAGAGTCACTTTTCTTTATGGGTGTGATGACTGGTGTGTTCTCCATGTCCCAGTAGATGAACCTGGGCCCATATGGGTAGCACTAACTGGGCTTAACTTTTTTTTCTAGAAATGTATAGGAAGAAAGGGAGAGCTGTGCATCAATTTGAATTTACCAGTTTGTTCGATATAATGTTTTGTTGGCTCAGAGAGTAAAATCTGTGTCAAAATATAGTCGATGTTAAATAACATTGAGATAGCATAAATGGAAAAAAATGCAAGGATACTTGGTTCTTAGTTTTCTTTATTTCACTTCATTGTATACAAATAAAATGTATGTACTTTGATTGTTTGTTTTAGTAAGGAATTTAGGTGATAATAAAGTTTTTAAGCTGCAATTCCTGTTTACCAGTTTATTCCTTATCCAATATTAATTAGCACTTGGATTTTGAAAGTTATTTTGTTAGAAGTGGGGACTTAATACCTGCCAGGAGAGGAAAAATCAGTTTTCTCCAATAGAGTAACACTGGGTATATCAACCACTCCATGACAGTCAGACAGATGGTCCTCATGTTCAGGAGTAGTTGAACAATATATAATGCACTCCACAAGCTTTTTGTTGTTGTTGTTTTCTTTTTTTGTTTGTTTGTTTGTGTGTGTGTGTGTGTGTGTGTGTGTTTGCACACACATGCCTTTGTTGGTTATAGTCTGGCATTTTTTCTTTCTTTTTGGTGTATTATTTTGGTTTCTAGGGATTTTGTGGAGGGTTTTATTACATTGGGTATTAGTTTTTAAAATTGGGTGGATAAGGAGGGAGAGAGGAACTAGAATGACTTAGGGGAGGAAAAGAATGATCAAAACATTTAAATTTAAAAATTGTTTCAATTAATAATAAAAATGCTTAAAAAGTTGGAGAAGTAAGAAAGAAGATACCTAGCCTTTCTCCTTAGAATTTTCCAATTAAATAACAACAAAAGTATGAGGAAGAAAATGAAACAGCTTTTAAAACCCAAGGACAAATAACACAAAGGAATAAGAAGGTAAAATATGGGGGGGGGCAAGAAAAGTATGGAGGGTCATTTAGCTAAAAATAATCAGGCAACAACACTGGATCTCCTTTACCTAACTGGAATGGCTGGGTGGGTCGTAGAGGGAGAGAATGTGCTTGGACTAGATGACCCAGGGTGGGGTGATAACTAAGGGGACTTCCCCTTCTCTCAGAAGAAAGGGAGGGGTAGTAAGGGAAGTGATTTGTAAGTGGGGTACTGGGAGAGGAGGGAGGAGGCTGCAATTGGAGTGTAAAGTGAATAAAAAATTCAATTATGAGAAAAGTAGGCAAAAATTAATGGAGGAAATGAGTTATTTTGTTTTGTTAGACTTGGAGTGTCTCTATAGTCAGTGATCTATAGTTGGACTTTCTCTGTCATTTAGTTTCACATACATAAATACAGCCCAACACTGATAATAATATTCAGAAAAGTTTATTCGCCCTAAACATGTACAGAATTTTTCTGGCCTTTATCCCGTAAGGATGATAATTGACATAAGGAAGATGTCCATAGAACATGCAAATACCATACTATTTAATATAACACACACAGGTGGATATTGGCATGAAGTATCAGGAACATGTGTTATAGAATTAATCCCAAAAGCACAGGACAGATAATTGTACTTTTAATTTTAGTTAAGTAGTAACCTACATGAAACTGGTGACCAAAGCCAAGACACTAATGCTATGTGCCACCATGGAAGGACAAAGTCATGCAATATAAGTGCTTCCTCCTTTTTAGGAGTAAAAGTGGGAATGCTGCTGGATGGTTCCGGTGTTAAGAACACATACTGTTCTTGCAAATAACCCAAGTTAAGTAACCAGCACCCACATAAAGATGATCATTCCTCCTGGAACTTCAGATCCAGGCGATCCAAATACAAACACATAAGTAAAACCATTTTTAAAAGATTTATTTGTAATAAATAAGTTTGAATATTAAAAATCACATTTAAAAAAGCTGATCCTGCCAGTGATGTGTGCCAATAAGGAGGTAAAGATGGGCCTCGTGATCTCATTGGATAGCTAGCCTCATCTCTTGACAAGATCCAGGCTAGTTAGAGTTAGTTATCTGTCTTATCTAGTTAGTTATCTGTCTTAAAAAATAAGAGTGACCAGCACCTTGGCCATGTAGTTGTTGTGGCTGCTCAGATCAGGGAACTCATCCTCAGACTGGAAGCACAGCTGTTATAGCTGTTGGAGAAGGGCATGGTAGGATGCCAGACGGAGCAGGGACGAAGAGTGCCTGTGCTTGCAGTTCCTGGCACAGCGCAGAAGAATGATGGCTGCTCGCTGCTCCCTCAGCTCTTAGCCTGGCCCTCACCACCACCAGGTTAACTTATTACCCAGGCAGCGCCCACATCTTTGATTCTTGTATCCTGGCGGCTGAGCCCTTAGCCTCACTATAGAGACTTCTGTTGCCCTGGGTAGAGTTTATTTTTTTGATGGCTAAGCTGTTGCTGACACTGAAATAAACTAGGGTTTGCCCTGCCCTAAAAAAAAAAAAAAAAAGAGTGACAATGCATAAGTAACAGACCCAAAAATAACTTTGATCTCTACATGCACACATATGAAATTGCATGTGCATCCACAAACGTGTATACATGTACACATCCATATGTGAATACATAGATGCAAACAAGCATACATATACTATATCAATTATTATCATTAAATGGGGGGAAATATGTTATAAATAGATGCTGGCCTGGGCTACTTATCCAATTCTCATGACAACACAGCACTACTTCTTCCATGTACAATGTCTCCTAGGAGTTTCTGAGCAATAAGTATAAAAGTGACTTGAATGAGATTCCCTTATTGGCTTGTTTCGTTCTGAACTAAGACATAGATCTGATGGTTTAAAAAGACACTTTTAATGAATTAAATTTAATTTGACAATGAAATGGGTGAAAATGAGTGGTTTCGATAGAAAGATAACTGAGAAGTAATTTGCTGATTATTCAAATTCTATAACCCTGACTTGTTTCTAACTGGGGAAGACTGCATTTCATTGCAAATTAAATAACTTACCCTCCAATGGGGAAATCTCCATATGTATTTATCTAAAAGCATTATCTAGTAACATTGGTATTGTTTTAGAAATTTACTGGCTGTCCTGAATAAAACAAATAAATGAATCTTATCAGAGGGAAGGATCGCATTATCTGTAGTAAAAAGTGGTAACTTTGGGGATAACTGTCATTCAAAGACATAGTTTCTATAATCTCTTTGCCAATTTAATTGTTTCTTTCTTTTATTTTGTCTTAAGAAAAACTAATTTTGTGTTTTCCTAAGACAGGATCTTACTATGTTGCCTTGACCCTCTTAGAACCCACTAGAGTAGCCTAAGCTGGCCTGAAACTTGCTAATCTTCTGCCTTTACCTCCTAAGTGCAGGCATTAGAGGTATATATCAATATCCTAGGCAGAATTTGAAATCTTTTCTTTAAAAATATTTTTATTTATTGGAAATTCCATGTATATGAATTTTTCATATGCATGAATATTACATATACATATACAATGCATTTTGCTAACATTTACTTCCCTTTTAAATCTTCTCAAACTGCCTCCACTGTGTGCCCTTCTAACCTCCTATACTCTTAGGGGTTTTTATTTGTTTATTTGTTTTGTTTTAATATTTATCTTTAATCTTATTTTTACAGTCCAGTCATTATCTGCCTCCCAGTCCATCCTCTAACAGTTCCTCATCCCATTCCTCCTCCCCACTATCCCCAAGAGGATGTCCCCACCCTACCCAACCAGATCTCCCTACTCCCTGAAGCCTCAAGTCTCCCAAAAATTAGGAACATCTTCTCCCACTGGGGGTAGACAAGGCAGTCCTCTGCTGTATATGTGTCAGAGGCCTCAGACAAGCTAGTGTATTCTACCTGGTTGGTGGTTCAGTGTCTGAGAGATTGTAGAGGTCTGGGTTAGTTGAAAATCCTGGTCTTCCAATGGGGTCTCCTTCCTCCTCAGCTTCTTCAAGCTTTACCACAGGGGTCCCTGACTTCAGTATATTGGTTGGGTGTAAGTATCTGCATCTGTCTCAGTCAGCTGTTTGTTGGGCCTACCAAAGGACAGCCATGCTAGGCTCCTGTCTTTAAGCATACCATAGCATCATTAATAGTGTCAGGCCTTAGAGCCCAAGTTGGGCCAGTCACTGGACCTCCTTTCCCTCAGTCTCTTCTCCATTTTTGTCCTTGCAGTTCAGTTATTGCTACCTATGTGTGTGTGCATATGGGTGTAAGACCATCCACTGAAGCAAGAGCAATATACCAGTGTCTAGACCCTCAAAGAAAGCTACCTCTCTCCAAGAATCTTTCAACTGACAATAGCTCTTCATCTATGGATTGGGACTCATGAACCTCTCCTCAATCCATGCTGAAATCCTGGCCAGTTTTATATTGTGCATATCTGATGCAGCCAGTCATAGCTGCTCTAAGTTCATGAGTATGAAGACCTTGTCATGTCCAGAATATGTTGTTTTACAGCAGTCCTCTCTAGCCTCTTTAAAACTTTCTGGTTTTCTTTATCAGTGTTCCTTGAACACTGGGGTGGGTACTACTGAAAGGTAGTATGATACAGATTTCAAATTTACAGCTGAGAACTGTACCATTTTAAAGATTGGACTATGGAACTGAACAAACTTAATTCTCAAAAAGAAGTAATATAGGTATAAGCTCCAAGGAGAATATAAACAAATAGAAGTGTCCAGACAGAATTTTTTGTTGATTAACTTTGTTAAAATATACCAGCATTTGTTAAGACATGGGTTCTGTATCTTCATTATCAGCAATAAAAATTAAATACTATTATTATTTCTTGGAGAAAAATACATTTTCATTTGCATGTGGTAAGCTATGGGGCCTTACATTCTTCTGGAACTCTATTTATAGGGGAACCAGTATCTTTTTATTTTCTCTGCAAGAACGAAGTATGTGTGCACTGCACATGAATGTATTCATGTATAATATTCATGCACATACTATAAAATAATCTAAAATCATTCTTAGAGGAACTTCTGTGCATCTGCTGAAATGATATTTTCTAAAGTTGGAAGTATTCAAATCTTTATTATCTACTTTAAAGTATTAATTTGTATCAAAATATCAAATATTGATACCCATAATTCTATAGAATCTTGACAGTTATTTTATAGAGAAGTATAAACAAAGCTAGAAAGAATAATATATATGAGAAAATTGGATGAAAAGATTTCATCCTTTGCTTGCAGAAAAGCCCTTCTACTTTCAGAAATTACTGTATTATGACTCAGAAGAATTTCTGTCAAATTTCAGGACTGTGGAGAGAGAAAACAAGTTTGACCAATGTTTGATCA